ACATCCAAATGGTCATTTGCCCCTTGTTACTGTTTCTCAAACCTGTCTCTTTCTTGCCGCCCACTGCCACCATCTTGGCTAATTCTGGAAAAGTTAGAGCTCCCCTCCTCCAAGAAGTAAATTCTCTTCATCAAGCTTAAAATAATGCCAGACAGGAAATAAGAAGAAGGAAATTCTTACGACAACTGACACAATGCTGGTGTGGGAAGGGAGGGTCCTCTCTGAGAAAACTCGGGTCCAGAAAGGATTCCCGGAATCTGGAAAGGAAGATGCATTTCCAGGGATAAAAAAAATGTCACTGACCAGAATAAACTGAGGTTTGCAAAATCAAAGGAAAAAGACTTTTCTCTTCTGTTTGGAATGAGAAAACCATCAAGAACAGTCTGCACACGCCAGCTGGTAGATGACGTCACAGTCATGGTTGAGAAGAGACACACAAAGTGGGCACTTGCTATGGCCCTTCTCCCTGCTCTGAGGAAGGAGGGTTGTCTGCCAGAGACCAGCAAGGAGAGCATCCCTAGCAGGGTGACCAGTCTGTCAGTGAGCTCAGCATAGCTAGAAACCCACCTAGGACCCGGGAGAAGATCGCAGAAGCATCCTCAGTCACATTTTACTCCTTTGTTGAGCTGTTGCTTCTATGTATAAAACTTACACGTATTGCTGCTGCGTTACTGAATGGTATTGAAAATCAGCAGGTGAAGAGAGCCCACTCTCTGCTTTCAAGCAGTGGGGGAGACAGTTATATAAATAAATGAGAATGATATAAATGAGAGGTCATGTAGGGAGTATGGGGGTGGAAGGAAGTGCTTAATCCGCCCCCCCCCCAGGGGTAGAAGCCATTACATGTGGGGGTGGGGGAACTGGGTGGTTCTGTGTGCCTGGAGATTTAAGGAAATCTAACAAACAAGACATATTCACAGGCCATGGAGGGACCATGGTCTATGTCAGGGGCACATCGAAACATGGTCACACAGTGCAGGGGCCTGCACAGTTCAGAGAGCATTTAGAGAGTCGGACGCGAGACCTGTCCCGTGAGCCTTAGAACCGGTCAGGCCAGGCCCAGGATTCCCTTGGGGGGAGGGAGGGTTCCGCACCCCAAGGGGGCATTTGGGCCCATCTGGAGGCCACTGGGGTTGTCATAACTGGGAGTGGGGGCAGCACTACTGGCATCTGGCATCTACTAGAAGGAAACCAGGGATGAACATCCCTGGTGCCCAAGTCAGCCGCCCACAACAAAGATTACCCAGTCCAATGTCAATAGTGTCAAGGTTGAGAAACCCTGGACAAAACGAACTTTATTTCCACTGTTGAAAGTCTGAGCAGACTAGAAACCAGAGGAAGCCGTGGTTATTGTACAGTTTGACATGTTTCAAAGTCTGTTCCAAAGGATTGTAATTATTCAAGATGCTCAAGGCTATTTTGGTCAAAGAGGTTTGGAACACTCTATGTTAAGTTTTTACTGTGGAACTTCTCTGACGCATAAATTTGTTCATTTGCATGGTAGGGTACAGGGACATTAAAAAATATGCAGAAATGCCCAGACTTACCTGACCCTAGAAACATATGGCCATTTTTTTAATTGATATCCTTGTCTTCTAATTGATTTATGAAAACTTCTTGTGTATTAAGTATATCAAACTTTTGTCAGTTTTGCAATTCTTTTTCTCCATTGGACAGTTACCAGTCCATTTTGTTATTCTGAAAGTTTTCCTCTCAGTGTGGTTGAATGTACCCATCTTTGGGAGTCAGTAGTTAAGAAAGGCTAAAGGCATTGATTTGGCTAAGGTCACACTACCTGTTATGAGACCTTGGGTAAGACACTTAACCTCCTCACTTGGTTTCCTCTTGTGAATGAGAATACTACAGTATCCGTCCCATTGGTGGGTTAATAATGAGACTTTATGCATGTCAAGCACATAGCTCGACTCAATAAATATTAGCTGTATTGTTGTTAAAAATGTTTGGACCTGGTCCTGGGGCCCAAAATCCCATTGAAGTCAGTCGGGAGTGGTAACTAACCAGCTTCATCTGTCAGAGATGTTATTTGATTTAGCTCCAAGTTGAGTATGAGTCAGATGAGTAGAGTTGGCCAGAAACTTTAATGTAGACATACCCAATAAATAGATGACAGTGGGCTCAGGTGAGATCCCACTACCTAACCACCAGGAGAACTAGAATTAAAAGGCTTGTGATAGAACATGTTGGCAAGGACATGGAAGAGTTGAAACACACACCTACATAATGAAAGTGTGAGTAGTTACAACTGCTTTGGCATCTAGCTTGACAACGAAATAATCTGAAGATGAGCTGATCTCTAATAGCAGATAATTGATATTACTTCAGATAATTTATAGTATCTTATGTTGATAGTCAGAAGTTCTCTTAGGTATGCCTACGCTAAATGTACGCACGTGTACACCAAAGCTTGCAGCAGCTTGCCTCTAATTCCGAAACCCTAGACATAGCCCATGCCCCACTAGTAATAGAATAGATAAATACGTGGCAGTATATTCAGGCAAAGGAACATTTCCAGCAGTGGAAAACAAGAAACTGCCTGAGTTTCACCAACCGCAGGCAAAAGTCAAGACACATAAGGTCTAATCGTATGACTCCATTCATATAAAATTCAAGAGCTGGAAACTAAACTGCCACATTACATGGGTCACATACTTAAAGGTGCAATCTTTTAAGAAAGGAAAAACAAATTTACCTGGAAAGAAGAGATGTTACTTCTGCAGAAGAGGGAGAAGTTGTTGTCAGATGTGGCACAGTAAGCAAAATTCTGGTTCTTGACTTGGGTGGTTCTTTTGTCTGTAAACTGCTCTACCAGCAAGTAATTTTTCAGGGAAGCCCCAGGTCATGAGAAGTTCAAGTCACGATAGAAAGACAATCAGTCTATTATTATTTTGTGACTCACTACTCAAAATCCACAAGCAACAACAGTTCGGACACACAACAGTTCACTGAAATGTCATTTCTGTCTTTGCCATCCTGTGTGTGTGTGTTATATTTCAAAGCAAAATACGTTTTCAAAAATTCAGTCCACTCTTGGGATCCATTAATGA